TACTGCTGAGACATCGGAAGCCAGATCTTTACTTGCAGATTGCAGTGTGGGAGGATTGTCCGTGGTGGTCACAAAGTTCTCGGAAGCCAAATGCATTAGAAAAGCAGTCGAAGAGGTGGTCTGTTGGAGCTTAAACTAAACTGTGCCTTCTGAGCTCCACTTACCTTGCAATTTGTATTGCAAGTGGTATGATACTGTGAACGTCGTTGCAAAGCGCAGGAAGTTGATCTGGCACATCAAATATGAAAATCTGTAGCACAAACCAGAGCTGTTCTGTATCATGTTGTGCAATATTTCTGGGTTTAAACGCTGGTGTCAGCACGATGCAGCCTGAGGTGTAAGTGTATCGTGGGTGGTTACCATTGAGTTCTTACTGAAGAGAGGTCCCTTAACCTTGCACTGCTGAGCTGCAGTTCTCAGTGGTGACCTGCGCTTTACCCTGGGCATACTAAAGGTGTTAATGAGCACTATTTGGGGTAGGCACTAAGGATGGAGTCTCATCTCCAGGCTGGTTTTAGAGTAAAGCTGATTTCATGTTTAGCAATGCTGCTGTTGAGGCAGGAACGACTTGTTTCCTCAAACTACATTGTGGAGATTCAGGTTGTGTTGTATTTTTGTTGCTTTGTAGGACATGATTGAACCATGCTGCTGTTTTAAAGAGGGGCAGCAGAAGGCTTTACCAATTTCTTTCTGCTCCCTTTAAGGTTGACCTGTGTTTAGAGTGTATTGAATGGGCCAAATCAGAGAAGAGGACTTTCTTACGCCAGGCTCTGGAGGTATGTTACGCTGGGGGTCCCCAGCCTGTGTAAGAACATTTGTCAGAACTACTGCCTGTAAATGTATAGAACTTGTGGTGTGTCCTCCAGATCCTTGTCTGTGTCGTGGACGTAGCGATGACAATAAAGTTAGTGACTCTTCGTGACTAAACAGGATTTTACCAGTTATCTTTGAACTAGCCAGTCTTCCAAGTGGTAGATCTTGCAGAATTGGACCCTATGATGTAATTAATAGAAACTAAATGAGTGACGTCCGTGCAGATAAGAACATAGAGTTTCATTTTGCAAGATAAGTCTGTCCTGCCTTTCTCTGCCTTTCCTCACAGCAGTTCCCTTTCTGTTCTCCAGGCGAGGCTGGTCTCCCTGTACTTCGATACCAAGAGGTACCAAGAAGCACTGCAGCTGGGTGAGTCTCCCGCTAGGTGGGGGTAGTTCCTTGCTTGGAAATCAAGGCCGAGGGAAATGCTGCACTGCATCATGTTCCTTGATGAGTTTGCTAGGACCTGGGCATGAACTGCTCAGTGCTGTGCCAGTTCTGTCATCTTTTACTACAGCTTGGTGATAAAAGCTTTAGGAGACCTCTTTGTTTTCACCGTTTGCTCATTTCAAATAATTTTGGAAGCAAAGAGGAGCTGTGTCCAGTTGAAGGCCTTCAGATTTGGCTGCTGCTGGACCTTAGGTAGTATACTGCTGTAGTCGGAGAGGTTGAAGTGAGAAACCAGCTCTTTTTGTTCAGTTTGCTCAAATCCGGACTCAATGAAAGCAGTAGTAGTGCCAGGAAATGGCAAACCTCTAAGGATGTAATTAGACAAGCTCTTGTGAAGTAGTGTAAAAGCTTTAAGAACTTGCTTCTGCACCACCCGAGATATGGTAATGAACCACGTGAACTCTCCTGCTCTGCTCCAAAGCAGAGTACAGCAGGTCATCTTACACGGCCCGGCTCCCTTTGGTGCTTTACAAATGCGCAGTCGTGGAAGATGAGGTTTAAGCTGTACAGACACGTGGGTGTGAGCTGGGCTGAGGGATGGCTGCAGTGACACGGACAGAAGTGCTCACCTGGGCAGCGGTGATGCCTCCCCAGGGACCCGTAACTTCTTAAACACTGTGGTGGCAAGAGCCCGGGTCATGCCCACAGTCACCTGGTGACTTGTACCCGATCAGGTTATCAAGTTATGATACATGGAATTCAGTATCAAGCTAGAATTCGTTTGCATACAGACATGTGATGAACTCAGGTTTAAAATGATCGCAGTCTACCTTAATTAAGTTAATTAATGAAGGTGGTACAGCTTAGGGAGTTGTGAAGGCCTGTACCTATAGTACGGTCTCTCAGAAAACTCTCTCAAGGTGTCAATGTTATACGCTAGCATTTCTGTGTGGCTGGCCAAGATGTGGTTATGTCCGTGGCCATGGGGTGTAGGGAGAGTCCCTATTATGGGATGTTTCTAGGGACAGCCCCTTCTCTCCCACCTGGTTATGCAGTTTCAGCTGTGGTTCTCACCTGAAAAGCACAGCAAGTGCAGATGAGGTTCTCATCTCTGCTTGCCATGAGTTCGCTCTTTATTTTGTAGCAGGGGAAAGAAGCAGCAAAGCTTCCTCTAAGACTGGGGTATCTCTGTCCTCACAAGTCTTTAATGCAGCAATATCTCTAGGCATTTCTTAGGCTGTCCATTCCTACCTCCTGAATTTGATCTGCAGGTGTCTTGTGCTTAAAACATTCCTTCCTCATCCCATATTCTTAAGAGTTGCTTGAAAATCCTCAGATCTCACCCTAGGGGAGTGGTGCAGGAGCAGGCAGTACTTCAGGTTTGCTCAGACCTCTGAGTGTGCGTGGTAAATCACCTTCTCACCTGGGGAAGGGGTACCAGAGCGACCGTCTGAACTGCACAGCCCATCCTTGACTGTCTGCTGGGTGCCTGCTGCCCGTGATGAGATGGCAGAGACACGATCTCTCACCACCCTCTTCCACCTCTGACACAACTGGTGCAGTCTTCTCCAGCTGTGGGCTGGCACTGACCTACTATGATTTCCTCTCTGTTCCTTCTTGGAAGAACAGGTTGTGTAAGGCCAGCCTCCCTTCCTCAGAGCCAGTAGTGCTGTGGGGGAAGAAGGGTGTCACCTGGAAAGGCTTGGTTTGTGAAGCTGTCGATGCAGATGCAGAGCGGGTTACAAAGGTTCTTGTTCTTCCCTCTGCTAGGCTCCCAGCTTCTTCGGGAATTGAAAAAGATGGACGACAAGGCACTGCTGGTGGAAGTGCAGCTGTTAGAAAGTAAGACTTACCATGCCCTGAGCAATCTGCCAAAAGCAAGAGCAGCCTTAACCTCTGCACGGACTACAGCCAACGCGATCTACTGTCCACCTAAGCTGCAAGCAGCGTTAGACATGCAGTCAGGTAAAGCCCTTGAGGAGAAGGGGGAAGCCTAGGACTCGTCATGATGCATCAATCGACTGATACTTGTTCTTTCCAGAGTGAATCATCGAAAATGTTGCTAGGTGGGACCTCAAGATACCTGCTGGTCTGCCCAGCTGCCTCGAGGCAGGAGCAGCTATAATTACCTTGTTCCTGACACACGTTGTCTCACCCTGGTTTTGAAAACCCCTGGTGGTGGAGGGTCTGTAACCTCCCTAGGCACTACAGCGTTGCACCGTGTTAGTGTAACTAACATTGTTCCTGACCTAATTTGCAGGCACTTGCCTGAAGTCCTCTGAACTTGTCTGTCTTAACACGTCCCCTTAAGAGAGGGCATTGGATGTTCTAGAAAGAAAAGGGTTTCTCTTACTGAAGTACCTGATAAAGCACTGGGCAATCAAATTGTTCTGTCCCCTTCCAATTACATTCAGAATTAACTCTGATCCCTCTTGTCTGTCCCTCTCCACAGGTATTATCCATGCAGCAGAAGAGAAGGACTGGAAAACAGCCTACTCGTATTTTTACGAGGCGTTTGAGGGATACGATTCAATTGACAACCCAAAAGCCATCACTGCGCTGAAATACATGTTGTTGTGCAAAATCATGCTGAACATGTACGTGGCAAACGGTTCTGCAAAGAACACTTCCATTTAAATAAATGGGAAAGGTCTTTTGTATATTGTGCACAAATGAAAGAACTCAAGCTGACAAGCTTTGCTGTTTGTCTTTTTTATGACCTAATCAATGTGTCTGGTACGGTGTCATTTGAATTGTAGTAATTTGCTGTCAGTTGGGAATTTTTGAGGCATGTTTAGACTTCAGCTGACCGTGTTGTTGAATAAATGCTCTCTTCCCTTCCCTCCCCTCTCTAGCCCAGAAGATGTGCAAGCATTAGTGAGTGGAAAGCTTGCTCTGCGGTATGCAGGAAGACAGGTATAGAAACTTAATCCTTTTTATCTTCCTATTATCTCTGAGAATATTGTGTTATTCTTTTTGTCAAATACTTCAGTCTTTTCATACCAAAATGCCCTTCACTTCTGAGTGTCCTGAATGAGATCCAGAACTGATTAAATTACCATAAGTAATTACCAGAAGTCAGTTGCCTTCAAAGGGAGTACAGTGATTTTCACCACCTGAGAACCTGGCTTGCTCGCTTCATTTTCTTGGTTCTTCTCCCTGCTTTCTTCATGAGCTACTAAATGCCTAATGCCAAAGGTACTCGTGTCTCGACTCACCTACTGCTCAGCAGCCATGGATCTGATGGATTGGAATCCAAGTTAGTCACTGTTTTTACTTGCATTGTAGCAAGTCCTGAAAACCCATTCATCTCAGTGTGGTTGAGCAGCTTGAGACCTAGATGACTGTAAGGTGAAAGCCAAGCAGCTGGGGAGTTGTTAAATCAACTGTTTATTCTAACATGTTAACTTGCCAGTCTGCGAATGCCACCCCCGTATTAAATCCAGGGATGCTTTATATAAAGTACAGGGCCAAGAGCCAAGCGTGCCAGGGTCTGAGCCAGGCTTTACGCACTGATGCCCTCGGAGGCTTTGGTCAGACGGCTCTTTACTTTGACGCAGGAGCTAATACCCACCTCACAGGGGCTTGGAGAAGCTAATTAGAGGAGGTCAGTGAGCACACGTGCATAGGAAAGAGTCTGAAGTGGGAATATCCCTGCCTGGTCACAGAGGGCAGCCCTGGTCCTGCTTCATCCCCATCGCCTGAGAGGCAGCTGGGTTGGAGGCTGCTTCTCAGAGCAGGAGGGCAATGTGCAGTGGAGAAAATCTCAGCTGTTGCCTGCACTCTCCTCCTGAGACAGCAGCGATCACAGGCTCCCGCGGCAGCTGTGGAAACTGAGCGGAGGGAGCAGAAAGTGGGAAGCTTTAGGAACAGCTCGGTGGGAGAGATGGTAGCATAAACCTGGGCCTTGTGCACCGTAGCCACTGGGCTGTTCTGCTCCTCTCGTGCACTTGTGCCTCTCACCACTTGGAAACAGTTTTAGTGGTTCTGTTCTGTTTAATACAAATACGATAGTGTGGTTGTGGCTGAGTCTTTGCTTTGTTTCAGCAACTGAGGGTAGATAAGAAACATTTTCTGATGCTGTCGATGATAGGTTATCCACAGGACTTCTGCCACGCTGCTGTTGCTTGGCCAAAGGGAGAAACTCAGTGTTAAGTGCTGAGAGCTCATTAAGCAAGTGCCGAAACACGCACTTTTCCTTAAAAGATGTGTCAGACTTGCTCCCAACCTGCAACCTGATAGGAACCGCAGCTGGTATTCTCAAACCTTGCAAAACTCGAGTGCTTTGTTTCCGTGACGCTGATTTCACGCAGTGTCCTGCAGCTGTTCCCCATGTTCTCCTCCTTAGCAGCTGTTCTTGCTCTGCCTGTGTGGAAGTGACACTGACAGGGCTTTGTAGCAAAGGGAACATTCCT